GTGTGTGTGTGTGTGTGTGTGTGTGTTCCAATACCACTGGAAAAAGTAGAAAAAGAAGAGCACTCACCAGCAAAGGACTAAAATTTGTGTGGCTATATTGTGATGCTATTGTTTGGGTTAAAGAATAAAGCAGTAGAAAATGCTTTGACTGGTTTCTGTGCCTTGACATTTTTGTCTAATTGCTGAATGTTAAAGACCTGGCCCATGTTTCCGCAAGGCTGTAAAGAACATGAATTCACGACTAATGGGTTCTGGCTAGTTCAGGATGAACCCGATGCAATCCATGAACGTAAATGATCAGTGTTTTCCAAACCGACAAATCCCTTTTTTTGTTTTCAGTTTTACTCCGCCTGTTCTAGGCCAGCATTTGAGTTGTATATCAAGCAGGTCACATCGGGTTTTAAGAGGACTGAGAAAGTAGGGAAAGTCTCTGCAGGCCACTGGACTGTGCTAAACATGTGCCTGTGATCTTTTCCAGAGAGACGTCTTCCACGATCTTGGCAGAGGGATTCTGGACTGTGCTTGGTAAGGCTATAATGCTACTCTCCTGGCCTATGGCCAGACTGGATCTGGGAAAAGCTATTCCATGATTGGATTTGGTGCAAACAAAGGTATTATTCCAACTGTGTGCGAAGAGCTCTTTCAAGCAATTGAGAACCAGGGAAGAAATCAACAGCACGAGGTGTGTATTCTAGAAGCTTTCTTTAACCAAGAGCATGAGGTGTTTATTCCAGAAGGTTTCTTTAACCAACAGCACGAGGTGTGTATTCCAGAAGCCTTTCTTTAATCAAGAGTGCAAGGTATGTATTCTAGAACTCATTCTTCTTTTTTTTTTTTTTTTTGAGTCGGAGTCTCGCTCTGTCACCCAAGCTGGAGTGCAGTGGAACGATCTCGGCTCACGGTTGCAACCTGCATCTCGCAGGTAACAAGTGATTCTCCTGCCTCAGCCTCCTGAGTATCTGGAATTACAGGCACGCCCCACCAAGCCCAGTTAATTTTTGTATTTTCAGTAGAGGCCATCCAGGTTGGCCAGGATGGTCTGGAACTCCTAACCTTGTGATCCGCCTGCCTCGGCCTCCCGAAGTGCTGGGATTACAGGCATGAGCCACTGCGCCCAGCCAGAATCCCTTCTTTAATCAAGAACATGAGGTATGTATTCTAGAACCCCTTCTTTAAAGGATTGTATTTTTCATTTTGGACCCTTTCCCCAGATGGAAATTCTCAGCATCTCTATTTTAGGGAAATGTTTGTTTTTCATACCGAAACGTTTATATGACTATAAAATCATGTTGCAGCTTAATAAGATGTTGGATTTTTCTGGTTATATAGAGGCAAATCCAAGAAAAGGCACTTCTGGTCTAACATTCTAGAAGCAGACACCTTAACTGCTAACACTAACAAGGGATTCTTATTGGATATTATGATGATTTGGTTTGTAAAATGACACCTTAGCCAGCTCAAGTCCGTGGCTCCCTTTGCCGCCCTCTTCAGCCAAGGCTGTGGCTCCATTCTAGTTCTAACAGACTTGTCTTTCTTTCTGAAGAATCTTAACTTTGTTTCTAAGTTGTTTTTTACACAGAGCATAGCCTCTTACTTGCCCTAGCATAGAAGACTCAAGACCGAATTTTAGATTCACTGAAGGTTGGTGACATTATGGAGTGTACCATTAACATTATTAGCTTTGAAACAAGACAGGGAAATAGCAACAAATGCCTGTAAGCGTAGTTTATGTTTCTGCTTTCTTAAAATGGTAGGACCATTGAAGGCAGTGTTAGGAAAACTCAGTAGTGCATTATTTTCTATCTTATTCTTGTGATGTTAATGGTAATGTGTTCAAGTTAGAGAATTATATGTTTATAATATCATCACCTAACTACCATTAACATTTCCGTACCTTTTGAATGTTTATTCATTTATATTTATATATTTATATTTTACAGAGATGAGGTCTTGCTATGTTGCCCAGGCTGATCTCAAACTCCTGACGTCAAGCAGTCCCTCCTCCTCGGCCTCCGGAAGCTCTGTGATTACAGGCATGAGCCACTGGGCCCAGCCTCCAATTTTTAATTCAAATATTTTTAAAGGAATACAAGTACAGTTTAAAAACTCAGCCAAGAGAAAGAATATGTCCACACAAACACTTGTACATGAATATTCCATAGCAGCATATTTACAATAGCCAAGAAGTACAGACAACTCAAATATCCATCTGCTGATGAGCATTTGAATAAAATGTGGTCTGTTCTTACAACAGATTATTCAGCCTTAAAAATGAATGAAATTCTAACACATTACAACGTGAACAAACCTCGAACACATTATTCAAAGTAAAAGAAGCCAGATAGGAAAGACCACACACTGTATGATTCCATTTGAATGAAATTTCCAGAATAAGCAAATCTATAGAGATAGAAAATAACCTGGCGGCTGCCTTGGGCTGGGTGTTGTGGGGGAGGATGGAGGAAGGGAAGTCACAGTTGTTCTTTTGTTGGGGACAAACTTTCTGAATTTAGGTTGTTGATAGCTGAACACCTGGTATTTAGCTCTGTGAATATGCTAAAGACCATTGGATGGAACATTTTAAGTTGATGAATTATGTGGCATGTGAATTATATCTCAGTAAAGCTGTCAAAGAAACTTCAAATTATTCTGAAAGGCTTTAATGGAAACCACCGGCCCTCTGCCCAGCGTCTCCCCCTTTCCTGTATTCTCAGTTACTTTCTTCAACCTTTTCACTGTTTGTCCTGGTAGCTGAATCCATATTTTAGAATAATGTTGGTTTTTCTCTTCTACAAAAGCAATTCTGGACAATTATCTACTGCCTTCCCGCCGTGGTAGAAGAGAATTTAACTCTGGCACACCAGCGCCCCCAACCACAACTTTTCCCCCACCTACCCCCTGCGTTTAGGACAATGCTTATTGTAACATTTGGTTAAATCAATAATTGTTAGCATTTTTTTTTCTTAACAGTTTCTGCCTCAGGATTTAATTATTAACATTTTAACTGCACGAGTATTGTTCACTGCTGCACCAAATAATGCATACGTCCTTTCTACATTTAGTTTTTCTTGGAATTATTTATTATTTTAGATGGAGCCTCGCTCTTTTGCCCAGGCTGGAATGCAGTGGCATGATCTTGGCTCACTGCAACCTCTGCCTCCTGAGTTCAAGTAATTATTCTTTAGTAGAGATGGGATTTCACCATGTTGGTCAGGCTGATCTTGAACCCCTGACCTTGCGGTCTACCCACCTCAGCCTCCCAAAGTGCTGGAATTACAGGCGTGAGCCACTGCACTGGCTTTGTTGGAATTTTTCATTGCCTTTATTTTTTTTTGAGATGGAGTTTCGCTCTTGTTGCCCAGGTTGGAGGGCAGTGGCGCCATCTCAGTGCACTGTAACCTCCACCTCCCAGGTGCAAGCAATTCTCCCGCCTCAGCCTCCCAAGTAGCTGGGATTACAGGCATGCATCACCAGGCCCAGCTAATGTAGTATTTTTAGTACACACGGGGTTTTACCATGTTGGGGTCAGGCTGGTCTCGAACTCCTGACCTCAGATGATCCACCCACCTTGGCCTCCCAAAGTGCTGGGATTCCAGGCATGAACCACCGCATCTGGCCAATTGCCATTTTAATTATGTTTACTTTTCTATAAATCTTTCTGAGTGCTCCAAATCACTGTTACACGTCTATTGGCAATATTTTCCATACACTCAAACGTCCTGGTTCCATGATTTTTTGGGTCTCCTCCAGCAGGACTCCTCAGCTCTCTCATTACAGTTGTCTTGATGGCATTAGCACAGTTTGGAGCCCTGTCTCTGCAGGGCTACCTCAACACTGTCACTCTGGAGCTGGACTTCAGCATTCATCCCTGTTGGCTCCCCTGACTCCTGGATCCAATGCATTCTTCTTTCTTGATGTACTCTCTTCTTGCTGCAATTTCCTCAGGAAAAGTGCATCCAGAGGACATCTTTTGCTTCCTTTGCACAACTTTCCAACCTCCACACTTGATTGACATTTACCTGGAATAGAATGTCTAGGTCTCTGAGAATATTGAAGGCCTCCATTACCTTTTAAGCTGTAGTGTTGTCACTGAGAAGTTGGCTACTGTTCTGACCCCCAGTTCTTTGCATGTGACCTTTTTTGATGGTCAGTTCCTCTCTTGCAGCCTTCAGGGTCTTCTCATTATCCCTGACGTTCCGATATCTGAATGAGTCTTTTTTCATTTATCATGCTGGACCTTCTTCAATCTGGAGATTCCTGTGCTTCCATTCTGGAAAACGTCTCTTACATTATTTCTTTTATTATTTTATCTCCTGTGTTTCTTGTTTTTTCTTTCTGAAATTTGTACGAATTGGATTTTGGGCCTCTTGGACTAATGCTCTAATTTTATTATCCTTTACAAACTTTTCTTTTTTAAAGAGATGGAGTCTCCCTCTGTTGCCCAGGCTTGTCTCAAAATCCTGGGCTCAAGGGATCCTCCGGGTGCCAGCCTCTCAAGTAGCTGGAATTCCAAGTGTGAGCCACCATTGATCTTTTTTATTCTGCATTCCAATAGAGTCCCTCAATGATATTATAGCTCTCCCACATTTTTATTTTGGCTGTCATTCATAAATTTAATTCACACACTTCCTTTTATTCTCTGGTTGCTCCTTTAAATAAAATCCTCTTTTTTTCCATGGGTATAATTCTTTCTCTTTAAGGCTATAACTTCTAGGGCTTTAAAAAAATATTTCTAGACTGGGAATGGTGGTTCGTGCCTATAATCCCAGCACTTAGAGAGGACGAGGGGGGCAGACCACTTGAGGCAAGGAGTTTAAGACCAGCCTGGGCAAGATGGCAAAACCCTGTCTCTACTAAAAATACAAAAGTTGGCTGGGTGTGCTGGTGTGCGCCTGTAGTCCCAGCTACTCAGGAGGCTGAGGCAGGAGAATCGCTTGAGCCCAGGGGTTGAGGCTACAGTAGTTGAGATCATACTACTGCACTCCAGCCTGGGAGACAGAGAAGGACCTTGTCAAAAAAAAAAAAAAAAAAAAAAGAAAGGAAAGAAAAGAAAAAAGAAAACATTTCCTTTTTTTCTCCCTCTGTCTGTTTTCCGAGTTCCTTCTATTTGTTTGTTTTGATCCCTCTCTCATACTGGAGGCTTTCCTTGTCTGTTAGCCTTCGGTCTGTTGTTCATTTTTAAACATGAGACACCCTTACACAGATATATTGCATAATGGAAAATAAACATAAAAAACAGGAGACACACAGAAGCTAATGGGAAGCTCTGAGGCTGCAAGGCCGGACTGGCAAGGCTTACAGCAGGGTGACTAACACACACGCCAGCTTGTTCGTGGGGGAGGTGGGAAGATGGCAGGACTGAAGGCCTTCCCTCTAGACTAGAGCCATCTGGAGTCCCCCAGTCCTGCTGAGGAGGCATCAGCTTGGCCAGCAGGAGAGGGCATGGACGCGTCTCCCTACATATGTTCAGGCTGGGGTGTGAACATGAAAGAACCACCTTTTTTTTCTGTCCCCAGTCAAAACTGAAACACATATACTACTGTCTTGTATTATTATTATTATTTTTATTGAGTTGGAGGCTCGCTCTGTTGCCCAGGCTGGAGTGCAGTGGTGTGATCTCGGCTCACTGCAACCTCCGCCTCCCAGGTTCAAGTGACTCTCCTGCCTCAGCCTCCCGAGTAGCTGGGACTATAGGTATGTGCCACCACACCCGGCTAATTTTTGTATTTTTAGTGGAGGTGGGGTTTCACCATGTCAACCAGGCTGGTCTCGAACTCCTGACCTCGGGTGATCCGCCTGCCTTGGCCTCCCACGGCACCCGGCCTGTATCTTTTAATTAGAGTAAAAACTTCCCCTGTATGATGATTTGAGACCCTTACACTGCACACTGAAACAGAGCCTGACTTCATTTAACATTTGTTTTCCCCTTTGTTCAACTTTTATGTTATTTCCCTATCACTTCTCTTCCCAGAAACAACGGTTTCAAGAGGATGTTGACTTTGTGTGCTCTCCTCCACACAGGTCACGTTCAGCATGCTGGAAATTTACAATGAACAGGTAGGAGAGACGTTTCATGACATGCAAACCTGGGTAACTCTGCCACTCAGTAACCCTCTGGGGCTCGCAGGCACCTGTCCTGCCAGTAAAGCCTGGCCTGGCCGGGACGGCCCAGCCCACCTGCCTCTCCAGCTTCATCTGCGTCCCTTCCTCGTCACACACTGAACTTCCCGTCCTCCTTCCCGCATCGATCCTTTCTCTGCTGTTAAAGAAACCGCTCAAGTTGAAGCTGCAGCTCCAGGTCAGCAGCTCGCTCTGTCTGAGGCAGGTGGCTTCAGCTGGCATGACGCTGCACGGGGATTGGCAAATGTTACCTGCTGAGGGCGGGTAGTAAGTAGTGGAGGCCTTGGGCCCACGCTGTCTGTGCTACAGCCTCGACTCTGCTGTTGCAGTTCAACAGAAGCCGCAGATGACACATGAGAAGGCGCAACTGAGTGTGTACCAACGAAATGTTACTTATAATTTGAATTTTACATCATTTTCGTATGTCATAAAATATTACTTTTGTTTAAGCCATTTAAGAATGTGAACAACAGCCAGGCGCGGTGGCTCACGCCTGTAATCCCAGCACTTTGGGAGGCCGAGGCAGATGGATCACAAGGTCAGGAGTTTGAGACCATCCTGCCCAATATGGTGAAACCTTTCTCTACTAAAAATACAAAAATTAGCCAGACTTGGTGGCACACGCCTGTAATCCCAGCTACTCTGAAGGCTGAGGCAGGAGGATCAACCTGTGAGGCGGAGGTTGCAGTGAGCCAAGATCATGCCACTACACTCCAGCCTGGGCCACAGAGCGAGACTCCGTCTCAAAAAAAAAAAAAGAATACAAAAAACACTCATCGCTCAAGGGTCACTCAAAAGCAGGCAGTGGACTGAGCCTGGCTCCCAAGCTGTGGCTCACCTGCTCCTGGAGAGTTGGAAGAGGGAGTTTCACAGCCAGCTCTCCCGTTTACTAGCTGTGTGACATTGCAGCCAGCTCTCCCGTTTACTAGCTGTGTGACTTTGCAGCCAGCTCTCCTGTTTACTAGCTGTGTGACTTTGCAAACTCATTTTATCCCAGAGCTCAGTTTGCATTTTCATAAGGAGAACTTAAAATAAGACATGACATCAGAAGAGGTACTACATTTTAAAATTTGTAACACAGTGCATATCCAAAGCTAGATATTCAGCAATTTTTTTCAATTCTGCCCTTTTCCCTTGCACTTAGTATACTGTGCTGTAAAATTGTATTTACATAGTTGTACGTGATGATTTTCAAATAATTATTTCCTTTTGAATAGCTTTCCATCTGCAGGACTCAATGCAATATTTAATCTAGAATGGGTGCTTCCTAGATGTTGGCTGAATGGATCAATTCACAAGTGTACCTACAATTGTAGGTTTCTTATGGGCAGAGACCATATGCTACTAGTTATAGTAGAGCCCCAGAAACTATGCAAAGCCCTGCATCGAATTCCCTATACTCCCAGGCTCTTACAGGGAAGAACATGGGGAAGGACGTCTGATTATACTCCCTACTGACCCCTGCTCATGACGATCATCTCACTGGAATTCTGCTTCCTATCTCTAAAGTAAGGCAATCGGGCATCCTAAGTACTCCCTTTTCCATCAGTTATTTCAGCAGTCAGTCAAATAAGGTCTGTTAAATATCCTCAATGTTAGACATAATGCTAGATTCTGAGGATTAATAAAACCTAAGACATGTTTCCCGCCCTGGAGAAGCGTAGTGGAAGAGGCAGCAGTCACTCCAGAAAGTTCCACAGTGTTGTGTGCACTGCAGGAGCGGCACAGAAGCCAGGCTGGAAGAGGGGGTGGCGCCAATACTCCCTGTGCTGCTGCGTGCTGTCCACAGAGGAGCTAGGCTGGACCTTGAAAGAGCTTCTGAGTCTGGGGAGGCAGAGAAGTGAGGGTGCAAGGCGCAAACAGCGGCACATTAGGCAGCGGGACGGGTATTTTAAATCATTAATGTCAGAGCTGGCACTGGGACGGGCGAGTACCCTGTGTGCTGGGAGTGGGATGTGTGGCCGCTGAGGGCTGGGGGAGCATCCCGGGAGGAAGCCAAAGACGGTTAGGAAATGCCTTTAATGAGCAGGCAATGGAGAACCAAGCAGGGATTCCAAACAGGGGAGTCAGATCCTCAGAGGGGGTTTTAGAAGTTCCTCCAGCAGCAGAGAAGCTGGACTTGAAGGAGTGCCACACAGAGCAGAGGGGCAGGGCCAGAAGGCACTCGTGACAGCCCAGGTGAGGGGCAAGGTTGTGACCATCTTTTCTTCCCTTTCTTTCCTTTTTGAAACAAGGTCTCTGTTGCCCAGGCTGGAGGGCAGTGGCACGGTCATAACCTCCAGTAACCTTCAACTCCTGGGCTTGAGTCTCCTCCTGCCTCAGCCTCCAAGCAGCTGGTGCTACAGGTGCACACTACCATGCCCAGCTAATTTTTTTTGAGATTGAGTCTTGCTCTGCTGCCCAGGCTAGAGTGCTGTGGTGCAGTCTCAGCTCACCACAACCTCCACCTCCTGGGTTCCAGCGATTCTCCTGCCTCAGCCTCCCGAGTAGCTGGGATTATAGGCACCTGCCACCACGCCCAGCTCATTTTTTGTATTTTTAGTAGAGACGGGGTTTCACCATGTTAGCTAGGCTGATCTCCATCTCCTGACCTCATGATCTGCCCGCCTTGGCCTCCTAAAGTGGATTACAGATGTGAGCCACCATGCCCAGCCTACCCAGCTAATTAAAAAAAAAAATTGTGCAAATGGGGCATCACTATGCTGCCCAGGCTGGTCTTGAACTCCTGGCCTCAGGTAATCTTCCTGCCTCAGCCTCCCAAAGGATTACAGGCATGAGCCACTGCGCCCATCGACACTCCTGCTGCCAGCACTGCCCCTGTGTCCATGTCTCTGTACTTCCATTCCGTCCTGAGAAACTTATGCCTTTTTTCGGATAAGTCTTATTCAGTCATATCTTCAGTCTGAGATGCCACTTCCTATCATCTCTATCACTCAGGGGAATTACAGAAAGGCTTGCTAGCTAAGGCAGAAGTTGTCCCCATTTTGATATTTTTTCTCCAGCACTGTAGGTCTGCTATCCTAATTTTGCTTCCCCAAGCTTCAATCTGCCATCTTGCCTGGACTCTAGGAATTGAAGCCACAGACGCTCGAGCTAGGGGAGAGCTGAGAGACCGTTTAATCTGTCCTCCTAGAAGGAGAAAGCTGGTAATGTCAGAGACTTTCCAAAGGCCTCACATGCTGGAGGCGGAACCAGGACTAAGAGCCTAGGTCTGCTCCTCAGCCCAGGTCACGGTGCAGCTGATAGCACAGACCGCACGGGCTCTCCCAGGACCGCAGCATCACGCTAGTTTGCCTTCTCAGCAGTGGCTTTTTTGAGGGCGAAGGAAATGGGAATTCCCCTAAGTCCCTGGTGTGAGCATGGCATCACACAAACCTCCCATAATAAAATACAAAGAATTACCCGGATTCTCTGGTTTCGTGAGGCTGTTGCAAATACTGGGGTTTTTTGTGTGTGTTGGTTTGGTTTTTGGGGATGGAATCTTACCGTCGCCCAGGCTGGAGTGCAGTGGTACAATCTTGGCTCACTGCAACCTCCACCTCCTGGGTTCAAGTGATTCTCCTGCCTCAGCCTCCTGAGTAGCTGGGACTATAGGTGCCCAGCACCATGCCCACCTAATTTTTGTATATTTTTAGTAGAGAAGGGGTTTCACCATGTGAACCAGACTGCTCTTGAACTCCTGACCTCAAATGATCTGCCCGCCTCGGCCTCCCAATGTGCTTGGATTATGGGTGTGAGCCACCACACCCGGCCACGAATACTGTTTACACTGAATAAGTTTCCTTTGGAAGTAGAGATCTCAGGGTAGTGGTATTTCTTGTGCCATGACTTAACCTAGGCAAATGTGTCTACTGCATATATTAGGTACTTTGAGCATGACTAACTTCTAATTATTTTTATTATTTATCACTGTTCTCAGTAAAATAAGACTTTATTACATTGCAAAACAGAATTTAGAAAGAGGCTATGGTGGTTATTTTTATTTTATCCACCAAGGAGTTGCTAATGAAATAGAGTTAAGAAGATTGCTAGGCGAACACTTATGTTAATAAAAGAACAATGTGTTCAAGTGCAAAAACTTCAGAACCACCAATTTATAGACAGACTGCTGTGGATACCTACTCACATGTCTTGTCATGCTGCAGAGGCAGTTCCTCCGGCCCCCTGGGCGCAGTGAACTAAGTGGCATTTGTTAGCCCAGTTCCAGCTGCGCTGTGCATGCAATGAGCATCGCCACGTGTGCGGCATCAGGAACTGTGAGGGTCCACTGGTAAAAAGACACCCACCTTTAGGGAACTCACAGTCTGGTTGGAGTGGTCTAGGTATATACTTGACAATAAAACTGTATTTATAAAAGACAATTTTTAACTTAAAAAAAAAAAAACTGGCCAGGCGTGGTGGCTCACACTTGTAATCCCCGCACTTTGAGAGGCTAAAATGAACGGATCACCTGAGATCAGGAGTTCAAGACCAGCCTGGCCCACATGGTGAATCCCTGTTTCTGCTAAAAATACAAAAATTAGCCAGCATGGTGGTGCACACCTGTAATCCCAGTTACTTGGGAGGCTGAGGCAGGAGAATCGCTTGAACCGGGGAGGTGGAGCACCACTGCACTCCAGCCTGGGTGACAGAGGGAGACTGTCTCCAAAAAAAAAAAAGCATCCTTCTGACTTCACTAATTACAGCAGTTTTCCCTATCCTTTTTCTTGCAATTTCCCAATTTCTTACTTAGCTAAATTATGAAATACCTATGGAAATTTTTCCATTAATTCAATATTTATTGAGCATCTGCATAGGCGGAGATATAGCAGAGAAGTAAACAAAACCCCCTGCCTTCCTGAAACTTACATCATTTGTTCTTTTTTCTACAGATACGAGATTTGCTGTCCAGCACCAAAAAACCTGGTGGGCTCAAAGTAAGGGAAGACCAACAGCTGGGCTTCTATGTGGAAGGCCTGAGTCGGTGCCCTGTGACAACTACGCCCACATTGAAAGGCTGATGGAACAAGGAACAAAAGTCAGGACCACGGCTTCGACCAACATGAACGCCAGCAGCAGGCGGTCCCACATGGTCATCACCATCCAGTTCAAGCAGGTGAGAGCCGAGTGGACGCCGCTGTCCCACTCTCCAGACAAGGCTGCTCTGAGGAAGGTTCCCCATGGCACAGTGGGCTGGCAGGCATACAGGATCCTTGCAGATTTGACCTGTGGATTAAGGTGGCTCTTTCAACCACAGCACACAGGGTCAGAAACAGGAAGAGAGGATGTGCGTGCTTTCTCCTGCCTCCCTCCCACCTCAAGTCACACCCCACCCAGCCTAAGTGAGCCTATCAGCCCCACGGCGCCCATAGGACTCAAAGGTGTTTTCTCTCAAGTACATTTCCAGTGCTTGGAGGAATAAGCTTTGTCCCCAGTTTGATCAAGGAGCATATTGTGAAGGTATGAGAGTGTCTCTGTGGTTTATCCTGGAGAGCTGTATCGGCAGCACGTCTGTGCATTACCAACGTGAGATCAGCTTTCAGACCCACGAGCCTGAGGACCGCCAGGTATAGAAGTACCCTTGCCATGTGTAGATGCACCAAGATACGTTCTTTGGAACCAAGCAATGCATGTAGCATTCCAACAACTCGAATCTTTGATCAACTAGAGCCCACTTTGACCCTCCATACCCCTTGGTGGACATCAGAGAGTGATCTCTACATTGCCACCAATCTGATCTAGAATGGTTATTCAAAATTCCTGGGTCACTGTTACATTTAGCTATGATCCTACCACCTCTGTCCCCTAAGTAATTGTTCCAGTAATAGAAAAGCAATCAGTGAAAAGAATCCCGTTCTCTGCAGGAGTAAGGGGAAAACACGGGACTATGTTTAAGTCTGGTGCCCTTGTTCACTAGCTCTACGACTTTGGGAAATAATCTCTGAGACTTGGCTGGGCACAGTGGCTCAAGCCTGTAACCCCAACACTTTGGGAGGCTGAGGCAGCTGGATCACCTGAGATCAGGAGTTCAAGACCAGCCTGGCCAACATGGTGAAACCCTGTCTCTACCAAAAATACAAAAAAAAAAAAAAAAAAAAATTAGCCAGGCATGGTGGCAGGCACCTGTAATCCCAGCTATTCAGGAGGCTGAGGCAGGAGAATGGCTTGAACCTGGGAGGTAGAGGTTGCAGTGAGCCGAGATTGCGCCACTGCACTCCAGCCTGGGTGACAGAGCAAAACTCCGTCTCAAAAAAAAGAAAATCTGAGCCTCAGTTTCCTCTTTTGTAAGATGAGATGAGAAGCTCTCCTTGCAGTAATGTCAGGGAGCTTGAATAAGATACTGCGTTTTAAGGAACTCTGTAAACTTTTAAGTACTACTCACTTGATTTTACGATGTTAGTAAAATCCATAAACTTTATATATGGTTTGCTCTGCTGTTTTGTTCTGTCGATAGGCTGGAGTGCAATGGCGCGATCTCGGCTCACTGCAACCTCCACCTCAAGTGATCCCCCTGCCTCAGCCTCCCGAGTAGCTGGGACTACAGGTGATGCCATCATTCACAGTTAATTTTTTGTATTTTAGTAGAGACAGAGTTTCACCGTGTTGGCCAGGATGGTCTCGATCTCTTGACCTCGTCATCCACCCGCCTTGGCCTCCCAAAGTGCTGGGATAACAGGCGTGAGCCACTGTGCCTGGCCTACCCTGATATTTTTTTAACTTGATATTTTAGGGGCAAGAGAAGAAATCAGCTAGAAAAAAAGGAGTGAAGAGAGTTAGCACCATACTGTGTATATTGGGGTCAGTAGTAATATTAGCACGTGGTATTGCATGCCAGGCATGTGCTAAAGCATGACCTCTGTGGTCATCAACCCTCATGAGCGCTCAGTAATGTGTTCCTATCACTGGTTTTCAACTGTGAGAGTTGCAGCTCTGAAAAGGTAAGTCATTTGCGCATAGTCATGTAGCCAGCGAAGGAATCTGTAGGATTCTAAAGCACTATATGCCACACGGCCCTGAACAGCTACTTATGTTGCAGATTTGACAATGTTTCATATTTTAAGAGTTTACTGGTCACAGAAATAATGGAGTACTAATTGGTATCTATTGTTTTATTGGAAAAGAGATTAACAGAATTGGGAAGAGAAAACTGAGACTTTTTTTTGTAAAATGTCATTGTTGAGAATAGTATTTTATATTGCATATTTTATGTTTCTTGAGTCTGAAATGCAATTAAAAGAACCACTTAACTCCAGGTGCAATGGCTCATGCTTGTAATCCCAGCATTTTGGGAGGCTGAGGTAGGTGGATCACTTGAGGTCAGGAGTTCAAGAAAAACCTTGGCAATGGAAATAGAAACTTCATCTCTACTGTAAATACAAACATTAGCCGGGCGTGGTGGCAGGCACCTGTAGTCCCAGCTACTCGGGAGGCTGAGGCAGGAGAATCGTTTGAACCTGGGAGGTGGAGGTTGCAGTGAGCCAAGATCATGCCACTGTACTCCAGCCTCAGTGACAGAGACTCAGTCTCAAAAAAAAAGAAAGGACCACTTAAACATGTCAGTGAGAGTGATGGCCCATGCAGCCTGCCACTCCCTAATACTATAGCCTGACCTGTGGTGCTTTTCTCCAGGTTTTCCTAGACAGAGACCTGAGCAAACGATCCAGTATTAATTTGGTGGATCTAGCAGGAAGTAAGAGGCAGAAATCTTCAGGATCTGAAGGAGACAGACTGAGGGAAGGATCACGAGTTAACTTAAGTTTAACCAATTTGGGAAATGTTATCAGGTAAATAATCAGTGACAGGTATTTGTATTGTAAAAATGACCTCAGTGTGAAAAACTAGATTAATTATAACCCTCAGTTCACGATCCGCTGACATCACTGATTCATGCCTGGGCTGCCTATAGATTTTATTTCAAACCAATTACTTTATTTTCAAATAGAATAACACTAATAAAACTGCCGTCCAACCCAAGAACTAGTTGGTGTTCCTCTCCTATTCTCCCCTTGGAAGTAACATCATCTTGAATTTTATGTTCTCTCTCTCCCTCAGCTCCCTCCTTTCTTGTTTTATCACATGTGAATATTATCGTTAAGTAGCTTCATTTTTGAACTTTATAAAAAGGGTGAAATTGGCTGGGCACGGTGGCTCACGCCTGTAATCCCAGTACTTTGGGAAGCCGTGGCAGATGGATCACCTGAGGTTGGGAATTCAAGACCAGCCTGACCAGTATGGAGAAACCCTGTCTCTACTAAAAATACAAGAAACTAGCCAGCCATGGTGGCAGGCACCTGTAATCCCAGCTACTCAGGAGGCTGAGGCAGGAGAACCACTTGAACCCAGGAGGAGGATATTGTGGTGAGCCGAGATCATGCCACTGCACTCCAGCCTGGGCAACAAGAGCAA